AATTAAAATTATTTATATATTGTTATATCTCAGCTTCTAGTAATTCAAATTAAATGAAAATTTGATATATTATAGTTTAAGATTATATCATATATATATGAAAATTTATAACAAATTCTAATCAGTGAATCTTGCGATATATAATGTTAAATTTTAGTATTCAAAATTTTTATATAATTAAAATATTTATGAATTTACGTTTACATACATATCTTAGCTTTCACCAATTCCAATTAAATGAAAATTTAATAAATTATAGATTAAGATTTTATCAAGATTATATGAAATTTTAAACTAATTCTGATTGGTGCAACATGAGATATACGATGTCAAACTTAGTGTTCGAAAACTTTTGATAACCCTCTGTATTTCAATATTTAATCAATTTAGTCAAAAAAAAACAACTTTGAGTATTTAAGTAAACTTGTTTAGCAGGTTTGAAATATTTGCATATAAAATTTTATTTTAATTAAATTAATGATTGTAAATTTATGAATATTTTTGTAATTATATTATTTTATGAAATTTTTTATTTATTTATTTAATTATTTTAAAGAGTAATTTAAGAATTTTGATCAAAAAGTCAACTTTAAAACATTTAAATAAATTTGTTTAACAAGTTTGAAAATATGCAAATATATATTTTTTATAATTAGATTAATAGTAAAATTAATAATGTATTATCTTATAAAATTATTTTATCTTTTTTTTTTATCTATTTAGTGATTTCAAAGAGTAATTTAAGCATTTTAATCAAAAAAAATCAACTTTAAATGTTTATATAAAGTTGTTTAATAGATTCAAAAATATATAAATATATTTTATTTTTTATTGGATTAATAGTTATAAATAGGGTTGGGAAGTACAGTGCTAGTACAATGATTAGTACAGTTAGTGCAGTTAGTACATTATAATAATTAATATAAAAATTAGTACAAGTACAATAGTAATTTTATCTAGTACATACAAAATTCCCAATTCTGGTTATAAAGTTATGCATGTTTTTTGTAATTATATTAGCATTACTTGATTTATAGATTTATTATAACTGTAATTTTAAATTTTACAGTTAATAAACAATAGGAATTTTAAAAAAAATTTTATTATATTAGTAATCTTTTTGTTTTTTTTTGAAAATATTATTGAAATAATAAAATATAAAAATGAATCAATACTAAATAAAATTAATAAATATTAATTATATTATATTTAAAATAAATACTATTAAATTAGTAAAACAAAAAAAATTTACCTTTTTTATTTTTTTAAATAGATCAAATCATTTCAGGCATAATTAAACCAATTTAACTTAACCTAAAACTATATAGAAGTTTTATTAGAACAATAGAATTCTAAGAATTATTTAATAAAATTTAATTTTATTATATTTGAATTTTTGATAATATTAAATTAAAATGTAATAAGAATTAAAATTTAGTCAAAAATTTACATTTTCCTAGTGAATCTCTTATATGATATACAGGTTAAGTTAAATTAAATGTATATTTAATTCAGATCAATTTTATGTCTGAACTTATTTGATCTTATTCAGAGCTCTAACTCTACTATATAATATTATAAAAAATCTTTTCTTATACTTTTTATACAACTTAATAAAATTCATAATAATTACCAAAAAAAGTATTTAGGTATAAGCCTTCATCAAAAATGCAGAATTCTTTCTAATCGTAATATATCTATCCTCTATTACTAATTTATATAATATTGATCTCTTACTTTACTTTATAGATAATAAGTATTCTAATTGATTACTTTAATTCAATATTGAGCAATTAAATAGCTTTTAAAAGTTTTTGACAGATTTTTGACAGGTTTTGAACAAAATTTCATATGTCCAAAACCTTATCCAAAATTTTTAAATTAAAAAATGTGTTTAAAATCTATCACTGCTTTAATTGATAAATTTATTTATAGCAGCCATTATACTCTTAGTTAGTAGTAATTACTCACTTATTGTTAGTGATGAAATTCGGTTAAAATTTTATATTTCAGCCCGATGGAGTTGCTGGTTAAACTTAATTTAATTTAAGAATTCTATTACTAACAGCAGGGTGTTTTTTTTGCATTTTTAAATTTGATGTAGTAGTGCACCTTAAACTTTATTAAGAAAACAAGTAAATAATATAATTCATATAATACAAATTTAGCAACTGTCAATAACTATCATTCATAATAAGAAGATATTTAATGGCAGAGAGCTAAATCCAACCATTCAAAGCAGGAGTTCATCTAATATTCAACTTAAATTTCACTTTATAAAAAAAGTCTTTCTAGTATCCATTGGGTTAACAGAAGAAAAGGAATTTTTTTTAAAAAAAATAAATATATCTAATTATAAACTTAACATAAAAGATTAAATATCTTCACGTTATAGCAGAAAAATTCATAGTGAATGTTGTGATTGTTCAACCTGAATTTGTTATATATGTCCTTTACTAATTAATCTTTTTGTCATTGTTTTGTTCAACTAATTCTTTGGATTTTACGTTGTCTGACTTCCAGACACATCATCTACATTGTAATCCAAAGAAGATTCCTGTTCTTCTTTATATAATCCAATGGCAAGGGTTTATACTAGAATTAACAGAATTCATCATGGGGAGTTTTGAAATTAAGAAAGACTTTTGTTTGAAAAATGATAAAAATATATTCAGTTCAAAGCTTAATTCATTTATATCGACAAGCAAATTTATCAGAAAAAATATAAATCGAACTATACAAGGAATTATTTTACGCTTGATATTATTATGGGAAAGACTTTGAATTAATGGTTAGTTGAGAATTGAAGCTAGTTGTAAATAATGAGCAGATGATCTATCAATGAAAGGTTAAACATCTTTTAGGTTTTACACGAGAAAATTTTCGTAAGAAAAACTCGAGAATTTTAATTAAAATTTATAATTTATTGAAAAAATAGGCCGAGGAAGAAGCGTTTTTATAACTTTGTGCTATTGGGATGCTAATTAAAAATGAATCTTTATGACCGAATTTGACCCTTCCTGACTTATTTTTTACTTACATTTTGAATTTTATTTGTAATTGGCGAAGTATAACACAGAAGCGCTTCCTTAATGTTAATGAACAGATATCAAAAAAAATTTTTTTTATTGTATGTAGCGAAATGTTATTGATTTACGAGATCGCCTGTTTTTCATGTACTGTACCTTTTGCTTTATCGCAGTGCACATCAACAAGAATACGTTAGTATGCATATGTCAAATTATGACGAGGATCAACAAAACAAAACTGCGGCATGCAAGATTAACCCGCTTCGTGATGTGGTTGGTTGAACAATTGTGCCACTTGACAATGAAATAAACATTTGATCAATAATTTTTTTTTTTCAAATATTTTGTTTTCTAAATTGTCGTTTATTATTTATTTACCCGTCATTAATTAACGATATGGGAAGAGTTGGAAGAAAGAGAACTCATAAGGGTTAGTTATAGAACTATTGGTTCTGCTCGTTTCTTATTCTTTTCTTTTTATTCTATTTCAAAATATTTAAACATTTTGACTTCTCTTAAATAAAACGATTATTTATGAAAGTGTTTCATGATTTCAAAACTCCAAATTATATAACCTTTATAATTTTATTCTAAATCATAAAATATGCAATAGGCATAAGAGATCAATATAGAAAATATCGAACTAGAAACTATGCGAAAGATCTTGATCAAATTCATGAAGATCTAAAGAAAGTTAAAGAACATGGAGATGAAATTTTGAAAAATCAAGAATGGAATGAAGACTTACCAGGATTAGGACAATTTTATTGTATACCTTGCGCGTAAGTGTAACAAGTTGATTTAACCTGATTAATTTATACCATAACACCGACCTTGTGATTTTCTAGTCGACATTTCATTAATTCCGAAGCCTCTAATGAACATCAACGTGGCAAGAATCATAAAAAACGGTAAGGATTAAATATCGATTAGTATAAAATGGAAAACCTGTTTTAAGGATGTTTATATATATCCCATAGACGTTTGTTTATTTTCACGATGGATCGATACTCAACCGATTTCTCCACAATTTATCTATTATTATACATTAGGGTTAAACTTCTAAAAGAAATTCCTTATACACAAGCGGAAGCAGAATCCGCCGTTGGCTATTCGACAGAACATTCAAGGGAAAAATCAATTAGTACCATCATAAATAGTAATTGACCAAAAATAATACATTCAAGCATGATAATCAACTGAAACCAAAAAATACTAGTTTTTTGATATTTATTATAATAAACTTTGTAATAAAAACAATACCCACAAAAATTCAGCATCATTAATGATTAAAATTTGTTGAAGATAAATGCCACACATCAGTAGGTGAGTCCAAGTTTAGTTAGGATAGACGTGCGTCATTTTTAGTTTAATTAATTTTCATAAAAAAAATCATGTGGTGGTGATGTGGGGTAAAAATAATTTAATGATTACTTAATTTGGATTCATTCAGGGATGGATGTGAAGTCATGTACGTCGTTGTTGTAATACTATCACTGCATTATCAGCTCATGTTTTTTGAATTTCCCCCAAAAATATATCAATTCATTGTCAAAAGTTTTGAAAATAGATCAAAAGGAGATAACATACAGGAATTGAAACCGGAATTTCACGTTGATAGAATTGATTTTTTTTTTATAGTTACAGTAGTATCACATTTAATTCCGAATATTGGTTGCACAATTATTTAGGTTTTACTGTTTTCGTAACAGTGTGCTTGGGAAAATTTTATCATCTCTTTTTTTTTAATAAAAAAAAAACCCATCTAATCTACATTGAGAGGGATTTACATTTTTAGTAATTTTTTGTGGAGGTCAAAGGCATTACAACAGATATAGTTCAATTGACAGGTGGTAAATTTATATGGTGCATTATAAGATGTATCACTTTTTTAATGAAAAGGCAACCAATTGTGGGAAATTTCATGTGGAAAATGGATCTACAAAGAAAAAAAATGGGTACAAATCAAATGAAGATTCATTATCAAAATAATCTTTGACAAAAAAAAAGGAAATCTTTTTTTTAAAAAAAAAAAGGAATATTAATAGCTCCCGATTAGTACGGGGTATACCGTTGATATGCGTTATAGATTTCGCCGTTTCACATGTAGCAGATACCGTTTTTAGCAAATATTCACAGGATTTGAAACCTGTATTTTCATTTTTCAATAACAGCGAAATATTTGACTCATGTTTTTTGAAAACTCCCGTGTTTCGAGTTTCGATCATTCCGAAGTGTATCATTTCGTTCAATTCGACCATCATATGCAACTATCATGTAAGGCAATGCAGTTCGTTGTATCATCCTATAACATTGTAAAAAAAAAAGTTTTCGTCAATCTTCATATTTGTTCTACCCCATCTTCAGAAAAAAAAAAATTAAAGAGCTTGAAGGGTAGGTAATACAGCGATGAATATCGACGAACTTTAACCAAATATAGGGAGATGCGCACATCAAATTGAGACAAGGAAAATTAAATATATTGTTATCATATTTTATGATGTATATTTTGCAACCCGAGTTATTTTAACGAATATAGAAACATCGAGCGATACACAGTTCTTAATGATCGGGTAAAAATGGATTTTATAATTATGATGAAAAAATAGAAAATACGATCAAACATACTATCATAGAGTAACACAATTATATAATGGTCATTTGAGTTGCACACCTGTTTTTTTAGGAGAATTATTTTACAATAGTTAGTGAAGTGAGTCAGTCATTTAGAAATATTTAATATATTTAATTTGATTTACATATATCATAAAATTTTTAACTGATTTTTTTTGTTCAGTCGGGACATTCGGGACATGAGAGAAAGTTGTAAAATCTTTTAACCATCCGTTTTTTTTTCTTTGATACTATAAATACCCTTGATTTGAAATCGAATCAAAGAAATTCTTTTTGAAAAATTTTTTTTTTTTAAAAAAAAAAATATATATATATAAAAATAAATAAAATCATTTTTTGTAAATTATAATTCAATTAAATAAAATAATTTTTTTAAAAAAAAAAATCCTCTTTTGTAAAATTTTACCGTGAAGGAAAAAACATATTTAAAAATGGCAATCTTTGGATATCAAAACAATTTTAGTAGTATAAATGTTCAAAACTTACAAAAATTCGCTTTATTTCGATACTTTCTTATACCTTTTGCTATCTTTTTGACAGTGGTACGCTACCTTTGTTTTAAGCATTTTCATTCCTTTCACTTGTTCAGTCATTCTTTGATATTCTATTTTATATTTATTAAATGGATAATTAATTTAGGTCCCCACGGGAATCCTTTCACTTACACAACAATATCAACAAAATCAAAATGTCGTAACATTTACAACAATCATATCGTCACGAGAAGAATTATTTCAAGAAAAGATAGGTGACACTTCGGGTGGTATAGTGTTAATTCCAAACCTAACTTTAAGCGGTGACTTTGTATGCGTACTGTGCGCATGGATCATCTCCTTGATTGGAATTTTTGATTTCTTAAGAAAGAACAACCTTGTTGGTCAATTTGTATCCTTTAAATTTTTTTTTTGCCATAAATAGAAAATTCGATCCATGACGTCTTCATTGATCCTTGACCCGTGATCGGTTTTTCTTGTAGATTTCTGCATTTTTGATCGTATTCACAGGGCTACAAATCCTTTCCGCTATTCACAGTGTGGTGTTTATAGATCAATGGATTTTTGAAATTTTAAGTGGCTCATGGCAAAAAGCGTATTTGTTCGATTCCGAATTGATAAAAGAAATTCAATATGAGGTGTGTATTGTCAATTTTTAAATCGGTGTCAAAAATCTTTTTAATATTAAATATAAATGAAAATTTTCTTTTTCTGAATATTTGATAGTTTTCATGTAAGGGATACGCTTCGGTTGATGATCGATCTGCGAATATGCCTTATCGATTTGATGAATGTTGTAGTGAAATGTTGAAAAATCGATTTGGTGCACAATTATTTGATGTAGCTAAAATTGTATTATTGGCACGATTTATTCAGGTAAATAACCAGATTTGGCGCGTCTTCAGTCCACCTTGCATTTGATCATAACCACTTAACGCTTTTTTTGGTTCTCGTAGTTAATTGGGGTTCTAATACACGCTCATATATTCAACCGGGTTATAATACACGATATCATGATGATGTATGCGGAGGAATGTGAAGATCATTTTTATGACGAAAAAGAACAACATTGTATATCGAATTCGTCAAATTATTCGGAGGAAGACAACAACGATGGTTGGATAAGTTCTCCAACTACTTCGTTACTACTTTCAAAGATTTATTTTGGACAAATGTCTTGAAAAAAAATTATAACAAATCAACAGACATTTTACGATTTATGGACTTTCTTTTTGTTGAATTGAAATTTATTCCTTGGAAATTTATTTTAATTTCTTCTGATGAATCCAACTGATGTTTCTTTTTCTTTTTTTTGGTAATCTTTTCACGCACGAATTCTCACTAAGATTACTTTCCAGAAAGTTTGCCTAAATCTCCCATCCGGAGTTTTGCATATACTTAACACTTAATTATTTTCATCGGATTCTTTAAAAACATTATCACGAACAAAGACGTTGGAATCCATTTAATTCTCATCGAATTAATCACATTCCGTTTCACAATTTTTTTTGTAATTTACCCCTTTTTATTTGTACAATTTTTTTTCATTTTGCACTTTTTCTTTTATTTTTTTCCTTTTCTATCATCCCCCTCCCCTCCTTCTTCCCCTTATTTTAGTTCCTTCGCCTTTTTTAGTTTTATTTTTGTAAATATTAATTTGTACAAAGGTGACTTTTTTATTGTAAATTTAACACTTTATGCAAATATGGTTATTATGCTTGTAAAAAGGAAAGACTTTAAATATTAGTAGTAACTTTTTTTGCTTGTGTTGATTACTAGCTATAGATACAACCTCATTTTTATTATTACATTTGTTAATTTTTGTATATTTAATGTTACACCCTTTATTGTATTTTTATCATTCTTGTAAATTTTTTTGTTTTTTGGTGGTTTGTTTAAAAGAAAAAAGAAGAAAAAAAAAAACTCTTTTTGGGGTTTTTTTTTTTAAAGAATTAATTCTATTGTAGTTGAAAATAAACGATAGCTTCATAATTTCTACATAATTTTTCAGAAGTTATGATTTCTTGCCTTATAAGTTTTTAAACCAACGATAGATACGAATATCAATATGCGGGTGGAACATCTATAAAAACCGTAAAGATGCAAAGAATTTTAAATTTTTAATAAAGAAATTTTTCACTGCGCATAAATTTGAGAATTTATAAAACTCATTCTATTCATCCAAACTTTGGAATATCTGTAAATTCTGCATATTTTATTCTAATTTAGATATTGACACAACTTGGTATTTTACAAGATATCCCAAAAAGAGAAATTTGATATACAGATACTTGAAGATTGCGAGTTACCATCTGCGATCTGATTTTGAAGTTAAATTTATTATTATACCGTTTAAGTAGTGTCACATGCGCATGGTAAAAAAAAATAAAGCCTAATATATGTGCAAACAAATTAATATTCAATGTATCAACTAGCCCAATGGTAAGATACACTTTATCTCAACTTTCAAATCCGAGGAATCTGAAGTACCCTTTGCCTTTACTAAAAATTTCATGGTACCTCAAATTTCGTATATCCTCCAACCAACTTTAATTCACGTCATTAACTATTTTATAAAGTTCTCTTGCAGAACGTAATAAAGTTTTTTATACGTCTGAATAATATATTTAAATACAATTTAGATCCATCAATTAATAATAAAGTACATCAAATGAATTAAATCTAAAGGAATTAAAATTGATAACGTTAGTCACCAGAAAGTCTTTACGGAGGAGGAATTTATATTTAGAAACGAGATTTTTTATGAAATCATTTATTGATAAATATTTTTTTTTCAGTTACTTTTCTTGAGATTTTAAAACTAATTATTACATTATACCTACCATACGCGGCAAAGTAAAATGATCGACCTTGACATAATGATCTACAAAATGATATTAATGAAGATAGTAATAGATCAATGAGCCCATGATGACACCTAAATAAAAGATATAACTAGCCAGACTTTTTTTACCAGCCACAGAAACAAAAGAGGACAAAATTCAATCATTGCACAACTTGCCGCAGTACATGATTATGCATTACGGGAAAATATTTGTAATATCTCGCTATACTCATTCGTTTAATTTCACAAAAATTTGATTCTCTCGCAATGCCCATCCTTTTTTTAATGGATATTCAGAATCCATTTCATAAGTAACTAATATATCATTAGTATTAACCCAAATTAGAAAAATTGTTATTATTCAAAAAATTTTTGATATTTATCTTCTATTTGCTGATTATTTAGAATTTGATTCTCTAATTGTAATTTTATTATATTCAAATAAAAAATTTTAATAGTATAATATAATTTTGAACCAAAAGTTATAAATTTATCTTTCATTTCAATTATTTCATTTTGTATAATTTTATCCTGAGAATTAGATTCAGGTATTAGTATTGACCATTTGGTATTTGATTGAGTATGTTCAGAAAAAGTAGATAATAGATATAATATTTCAGTATTAGATAAATTTGCTATTAAAGTAGAAGGAGAGTATTGACAGCTAATAGACCTATTATTACTATTGCCAATAAAAATATTTTGATATTCCTTCTAAAGTTTTGATATATGATTTTTTTGTTTATTAATTAATGATGATAAATCTAATGCATTTTCTTCTTTTATTAATAATCGTATTTATAATGACATTAAAATACATTTTAAGACAATTGGTTTTTCATGAAATTCACATTCAAAAACCTTTTTGTTTTCTCCAACACTTAATATACTCATATACTTAAAATCTCCATATTCAAAACTCTGTGCTTGTTTTCCTGATGTTTTCCAGAAGTACTGGAAGATGATCCTTTGGAAGATGAAGATGGTTGTTGACTTTTTCCAAGAGAGGGTTGTTTTGAGCTAGGATTATATTGACATTTTCGCAAATTATGTTGTGAGTCATCAGTTTGTGGAATGATGTTAGCATGAGAGGAATTATGATCAATGTCTATTGCCTGCTGGGCCAGATAGGCGTAGGATTTTAGAACTAGTAGATGTATTGGGTTATATTCAAGAGACTCTAATATATATAGATATCTATGATCTCTCTTAACAAACTAACTATGATCATAAGTAGAAAGTGCTTCATATTTAAGTTGGTTTTCTGACAAGTAGTTATAGAGTTGTTGTATGACCTGCTTTACTTTAGCATTCTTTTCATAAACTTTAGGTAACATTTGGTCAGATTCAATGTGGTTTAAAATGTGTACTCTTTTGATTGCGATTGCCAAGATCAATTTATCACCATCTTTTTTGTAGCAAACAAAATCTGATTCACCAGTGCCAGTAACATTTCATATTGCAAACTTAAAATCAGACCCGATCCTATTCTACGGCAGGCAAACATTAACATCCATAGCCCAGTAGACAACTTCTTCATTTGTTGGAATAAAATCTTTAATAAAATTCAGTTTTTCAAATTTTCATTCATCTTGATCGAATGTATAATTATTTACACTTTTGAGAAAATCTTCCCAAATTATCACTTTGTCTAGAGGATTGCCGACTGCATTTGTGAAGCTTGTCAAAATAGTGTCATACAGAAAATATGCAATATATGCGAAGTACATAATAGATATTCTTTGAGACTTAGAAGCCCTAAAAAAATGGAAATGAGTTAATAAATACTATGAAAATAATTGACTAGAAAGAAGTTTATTGAATAACAAGCAAGGCGTACAAACATTAAACTATACATGAAGTCGAAATGGATCATTTCAGATATCCGAAATGGTCGAAATCATTTCGACCATTGAAGGCTAAAGTCGCGAAATAGTTGAAATAACGTCATATCATATGATTTTTCATATTGAGAAAAAACAATAAACAAAAAATGTACGATCTCGGTCAATATCGCACTG